AGAGAGAGAGAGAGAGAGAGAGAGAGAGAGAGAGAGAGAGAGAGAGGATGCTTTACATTCCCAAGTTCCAAACTTCCAAGCAATAGATGGCATACCTTTGCCTCATTCTGAATTGACCTCGCTGTCATGTCTAAGGCCACAGCATAACCTGCACAAGATTGGGCGAGGATGAGGGGATTGAGATTAAGCGGATCATGAAAGCAGAGAGAAACTGGTGATAATTCTTCTCGACAAAATGACAACAGTACGCGAGTGGAAAATTGACTCATCTTGCAAGTAGAAAGTCCTACGAAAGGCTCGTGCAATAAACAATGCTTTGTCCCCCTGGTCCCGGTGCGGCGCCTTGCTCCATCACCACCCTCACGTGTTTCCACTCGCACCTGATCTCAGTCTCCATGCAGTCTTTGGAGGATGCCCGTACCTCCTCATGGAGCAAGGCGCAGAACACCTGTTTCCACTCTCACCTGTTTTCACTCGCATACCAGCTCTCGCTTCAATTCCTCCTTTTGCCCAATGTTATGCCGCACTACTCTTTCCCGATATCTATCCATACGACCTTGCTCCACTACACAAACATTCCACACGTATCTGGACTGCATTCCAGCCCACATGCATGGGGACTGACTCAACATTCTGAATGTATCCGCTTCATAGCCAGCAAGGCATATGTTTCGAATGTTGTTTAGTCGATTGACGCACATGGAGTCACTATCCTTATTATTTTTGGAGTCATTTTCCTCTCTCTTTTTTTTCAAATTTCAAGTATAAAAATTTGGACCATTTCTCAAGTTTAATATTTATGCACGTCAACCTTGAGCAGGGCCCATGCTAATCTACTCTTTCTCTGTATCGTTCCAATTTTAACGGGCGTCCCAAAGGACTTTGAATCCCCTTTCCTTATCAGCCCAAACCACTGAATCTCGCACTCGCTAAGTTGAGATGGGCTGTTAGTCCAAAGGAGAATGAGGATGGGTGTTAGGAAAATGGCGACGTAAAAGGACGGGCCAACAGGTCAATGGTCATTTGGCTCTGTTCCATAGTCCCGCCGCCCCCTTTACCAGGTTAGAAAATGTTAAAAAAAAAAAAAAAGGTCAGAAAATGTTAGAAAATGGATGATGATGTCTTTAGGGGCCAGAGCCATACGGCTCTGTTCTCTAGTCCTTTTAACTCTCACCCTTTTGGCTCTGTTCCATAGTCCCGCCGCCTGAGCAATGCGCAGAACCATACAGTTGTCTGACCTATATGGATCAGAAAGACTCAGACGCCTTCCGTCTGTTGTGCAAATCAATCGCTTAACACTGTTTACAGGGAAAGCGAGAGAGGTGAGTTAACCGTTGGAGAATATTGATATTGACTGGGCGACGTGGGCGTACATATTTTCACTTTTTCTCGATGGTATCTTCGAGATAGGTCTTGCGCTGATCGCGTTAGTGGTTTCTTCTTGGTAGGTGTACCCATCTTCTCTGCATTCAGTAGTGATTACGCAAAAGTGTCAAAGGTTTGAAACTCACCGGCTACGTGGTCCATGGCCACTTCTGTGGGAATATCCCGGCCCTTCTTGCTGATGACGACGCCAAGTTCCACCTCATGGTCTAAGGAGTCCACTCCAGGAGGCACCTCAATAACACCGCCCTTCCGTACGTAAGAGGATGTTGGTTTCAGAAACAGCACAGGTTCCTATTTCCAAACAGGCAAAACAAGCAAACCACATTTGAAACATCTGCTCTAGCTAGAAACCCACATTGCTCTGTGAACCTCTCTCTCTCTCTCTCTCTCTCTCTCTCTCTCTCTCTCTCTCTCTCTCTCTCTCTCTCTCTCTCTCTCTCTCTCTCTCTCTCT